GCTGAGACCTGAGGGATGATGAGGACTTAGAAGAGAGGGGAAGCGGGTGCATATTGAAGGGTCTCCCAGGGCACGGGAGCAGGGAGCACCACAGAGAGAGGGCTGGGGGCTGGGTGCCGAAGCAAAGGGAAGAGAGACGGGATGCAACTGGGGAGGGCGTGTGGCTCCATGTCCAACAGATTTGCTTTTTACAAAGATCACTCCAGTTGCAGGGGGAAGGGACTGGAGGAAGCAAGAGTGGGGACAGAACTAACTGGCATGACCTGCTAGCTGGGGTCATAGGTGAAAGGCCTCTGGGCTGAGAGGTGTGGCAGTACATCAGGAGCTAAAACCCAGGGCCACCTGGTCTGGGTGCCAGGAGGGGCAGGCGTTGTCCCCAGTCACCTCCTGTCCAGCAGGTTGTTCTTCATTAGGGACTCCTGTCACCTGAGAAACTTTAAGAACATGGCCGAGACCCATAAACCCACGGCCATCCAGTTCATGACGAAGGTGCCGTTGCAAAGTGGTGAGAAGGGAGAGCAAAGATCTTTTCAATGAATGATTCTGGACCAATTGGATCCATGTGAGGAAAAAACCTGAATAGGAGATAGGCGGCACAAGCCATAAAACTGATAAATTAGGTTCTGTTAAAATAAAAAAACTTCTCTTCAAAAGACACCATTCGGGGAAAGAAAGGCAAACGTTGGGGATGATGTTTGCAGTGCATACATATCCGACAAAGGACTTGTTTCTAGAAGATAGAAAAACAACTACAGCTCAGTCAGGAAAAGGCATTGTCAAAAGACTTGAATCAGAACTTTACAGAAGAGAATATCCAGGTGGCCAATGGGAGCCAAAAAAGGTGCCCAGTGTCATTTTAGTCAACAGGAAAATGTGAACTAAAATTGCAAAGAAATACACGTAACCCCTAATACACCCACTAAAATGGCCAAATGGAATCTACCAGTACCAAGAATTTCCAAGAAATGCCAAAAGCCAAGTACAGAAATGCTGCACTGTTCACAATAGCCCAGACTGAAAACAGCCCAAACGTCCTTCAGTAGTAAAATGGGTAAGTGACCTACCTGTTCATGCTCACGTTGAGTACCGCACAGCCATGCAACAAAACACACCGCTGCTACGTGTGGCACCCTGAAGGAAGCTCACCGACGCAGCGTGGGGAGCAGCCAGACCCGGAGGAACATGCCCTTGTGGCAGCACTTGAGCTCTGAGCCGCACTGATTCCTGCTGACCAGGGTGGACTCACTCTTACCCACTCATCGAGCTGTATGTGGAGGTTCTGTGCTCTTTTCTGTACATGTGTCACACTTTTTAAAAAAGAAAAAAGTTACATCACACAAGTTAACCAGGCCACACCTACTAAAGTCTTTGAGACACAGGTGATTCTAATGTACCCTGGCCATTGGTTGAGCTCAGCCAAACCCTTTATTTTCTTTAAAATGATTTCAAAATTATGTAGTGTCTAGTACATAAGAGACACCAAAAATACAGCAGTGAACATACATACACCACTGTACAGCTTAAGATAATCCCTCAATTTATTCAAGCTGTATAGAGTAGCTATACATACGTGTGTAAAATGTTTGGTTTTGTCTTTTTAAAACGTAAAAGAAAAAAATCCCCAAAAGGTATCCCTATGTGATTCTATGCCCTGTTGTTTTCACTCAAGAATAGGTTTTGAGCCTTTTCCCATCTCATAACGTATAGATCTGCCTGATTTTAAACTGCCGTATGGTATTTCATGTGGTGGAGTCCCATGGCTGTGCAGCCACCCCCTTACTGTGAACAGGAGGTCATTTCCAGTTTTCCACTGTTATGACCTGTTTAACAGGCACCTCTCTGGCACAGGGTGCGTATTCCTCTAGGGCAGGCAGCGCTTTATAGGTGAAAGGGGACAAGCACTCTGTATTGCACTCTGAAGAGGTTTCACAAGTTCACATTCTATTTACATTTATAGTTTATATTCCACTCATTTACATTACACTGCATTTACAGTGAGGAGTATCTGAGAGGACTCTTTTCTTTCCTACAACCTGGTTAACACTTGGTATTATTGTTAAAAGTCTTCTAATCTGATTGATAAATGAGAGTCTGTTATTTTAATAGTCATTTTCTTGACTCTGAATACTTTTTTAAATGTCTACTGCCCATTTTTTTAGTCATTCTTGTGAATTGCCTATTTATAGCCTTCCCAGGGGACTAAAACTTTGACTACATTAAAATCTGAAACTTCTGTGCCTCAAGAGGATACCATGATCAGAGTTAAAAAGACAAGTTACTACCTAGAAGAAGATGGTTGCAACATATCTTATAGACCCAAGATTATTAACTACAATATGTAAAGAGCACCTGCAAATTAGCAAGAATGAGGCAAACCAATAGAAAATGGGTAAAGGGTATGAACCCTTTCGAATTATATACGGAGCCAGAGAAGGCAAGAGTCTTATTGCCTAAGGTCTTAGGCACAGGAAATTATGAGTAAAGCTGGATCTTGGACCCAGCCTTCTCTACTAATCTCAGGCTTTTTCCATCACCTCATTCTCACTTGGACGGTAAAGAGGCAGGTGACATACTGGGCTATTCACTCAGCTGATGCCTATTAAGTGCTTGCATATTTGTAGCTCAGGCATTAGGGCTGGTGAACCACAGGTAGGGCACAGATGAGGGCAGGGGAGCAGTGGACGGAGGTGGGGGTGAGACAGGATGCAAGGGCAGCTGATGGCTCTGGGTACCTAGGCTGTCCTCTCCCTCCCGGTCAGCTTGGGTCTGTCTCTTGCAGAGTCAGGGCTGGAATACTACCCCCCTTCTCAGTACCTGCTGCCAGTCCTGGAGCAAGAAGGAGCCGAGAACTCCCGGGACAGCCCCGACGGGCCCTCGGACAGATTCTCCAGGGAGGAGGTGGCGTGGCAGGTAAAGCACATGTGCCCGCTGGCCTGAGGAGCAGAGGGCTGCATGGGGCCCTGGGCAGTGCAGGGATGCTCAGAGCTGCAGCCCTGGATTCCTCTGCCAAACTGGAATCTGCCTCCATTTGGGTCCATGTGCTTAGGTGTTTTCACCATGGCTCCTCCAGCACCTCATGGCAGCAGCCCCCCAAGTGTCAGCTGCATCCCGCTCCTCTTTGTTACCCCAACCCACTGGGACCTTTGTTTTTTGTGTGTGTGTTTTTGTCTTTTTTTTTTAATTAAAAACAGTTGATGTACAATATATTGGCTTCAGGTATACACCATCAACAATTATAAACATGGAATGCTCACCAGTTAAGTGTAGTTACCACCTGTCAACATACGAAGTTATTACAGTTTTATTGACTGTTGCCTAAGCTGTATTTTTATCCTGGTGACTAACTTATAATTGGACGTCTGTACCTCTCTATTCCCTCACTCATTTCACCCATTCCCTCCACCCCCTTCCCATATGGTAACCACCAGTCTATTCTCTGTGTTTCTGAGACAGTTTTGTTTTTTAGATTACACATATAAGCAAGATCATGGTATTTGTCTGGCTTATTTCACTTAACACCTCGGTCCATGTTGCAAATGGCAGCATTTCATTCTATTTTATGTTTGAGTAATATTCTGCATACATGTACCATATCTTATCCATTCATCTAGTGATGGACACTTAGACAACAAGATAGGTTGCTTCCCTATCTTGCTACTGTGAACAACACTGCAGTGGACATAGGGGTGAAATATACATTATTGAATTAGTGATTTTTTTCTTCTGTTATTCCCTGAAGTGGAATTGCTGGGTCATATGGTATTTCTATTTGTAATTTTTTGAGAAACCTCCACACGGCTCTCCGTAGTGGCTGCACAAGTTTACATTCCTCCCAACAGTGCAGGAGGGTTCCCTTCCTTCCACATTCTCGCCAACACTTACTTCTTGTCAGTAGTAGCCTAGGGCCCTGTCTTGCCAATAGGTTTCAGCCCCGGGCAAGTTCACTATGGATTCAATGTGACCAAAGAAATGACAGTAGAACGTTCTTGGGGTGAAAGGGTTTATACCCAACCTTACTTCCACGGTGGCAGGTCAATCACTAAAATCCTGTTCACTCAGTCTGCATGCAGCAAGCCGGTCTCTGCCTCTGGGCCTCTCTGCCCGCACAGCCATCCTCTGGGCCTCTGCTCTGCTCTCCTTCAACCTTGCAGCCATGCCACCATGTCACCCAGAGCACTGGGCGGAGCTCTTTATATAGAATCAATAGCAACATATTGCCCACACGTGTGTAGTGAGCAAGCCAACTTTTCATTTTATCCACAGGCCCTTTGAACATGCAGCTTCCCTGTGCCTGGAACTCTCCCAGCTCATTTCTCTCACTGTTTCATCCTTCAGTTCTCAGCTTAAACATCACATCCTCTGGGAAGCCTTCCCAGACGCACAGCCAGGCCCGGTCTCCTGTTACATATTCTCAGAGCACCTTGTTTCCCTGGAGGCACTTTGCATGGCTCTGGGCTAAATGAAAAATTCCATGGAAGGCAGCTTGCTTAATATCTTTCTCCCCTGATGGCTGGAGCTATGTGAGAGTGGGGATCATGTCTGCATTGTTCATTGTTGTCTTTCAAAAAGTACTCCTTGCTTCAGTGCCACTCGCTGTATAGGATGCCTGTCATGCTCTCAGGCTAGCAAAGAAGTCATGTCAGCACCAGTAGCAGGCTGGCCCTCCGAGGTCCCTGGGGGTGATCTAGCTCAGGACAAACACGGAGGAGAAAGCTTGGAAGGGTTTGCCGCACTAGCCAGGGTGTGCCTGGTATTGGAGCCGGACAGAAACTCTCTCCAGCCCCCGCCCCCTGCTCCCATAAGCTGAGGCCCTGATGGCTCTGAGGGGGCCCCAGCTGCTGTGGATTTGGCTTCCTATCTTCCAGTGATTTTTTTATTTTTTATTTTTTATTAATCTTTGGTTCTCTGATGCCACCCTTCCCTGTTTTCCAGGGCTGCTGTGCATGCTGTTATCATTTTATATTTATTCTGATAGCTCAATGAAAATTAGGGAGGAGACTATCCAGGAAAATTGTGTTAATTTATAATCTTAGAAGGTATTTGCAGTATACATTTCTGATGAAGGATTAACAGACAATATATAAAGAACTCTTTCAAATCAATTTGAAGCAGAAAACCATCCCAGTAGAAAAACAGATCAAAGATATATCAGTGGGTACTTTACAGAATAAAACAGTGCACATGGCTGATACACGGAAAAGATGCCCAACTTCCCTAGTAACTAGGCAAATTAAAACAATGTAATACCTTTCCCCCCCTCAGACAGGCAGATTTCACTCTGATCACTTCTGTTGACCGGAGTGTGGGAAATCAGTGGCCTCAAAAATTGCTCTTGGGAATGGAAGTTAGTATTACCACTGTGGGAGATAACTTGACAATATATGCCAAAAATGTAAATGCGTATTGCCCGTGAGCCAGAAGTTCCGCTTCTCAGCGTATACCCCAGAGAAACGCTTTTGTGAAGAGACATTTACGAGAATGTTCATTCCGGCCTTACTTGTAGTAATGAAATATTGGAAGCCCCCTGATGTCTATCAGAGGGAAAAGGCTGGACAAATGTGTTACATCCATGCCAGGAGACAGATCTCTCTAGACTTGGGTCATAGGACGTACAGGTAAGTGAACAAGACAAGTTGCAGAACACAGTGGTGCAGTATAGTTCCATTTTTAAGTTTAAAAAGATTCAAAATACTCAGGGAAACAGATCGGTAATTGACAGTGAGTGGGGGTGGGAAGAAAGTTTGATGATAAAGGGGCACAAGGGAATTTTGGGGGTAATAGGATTGTTCTATATCTTGATTGTGGTGGTTACGTGACTGCATTTGTCAAAACTCATAGATAGTACACTAAAAAGGATGAGTTTTACAATATGTAAATTATACCTTCATTAAACAACACATTTACGTGTATGCACACACATACAAATACGTATTTTTTTCCAAAGGTACAAATTATATGTAAGTAGATGCATGGACTTAGGTTTGGAAATGATAATTACATGGGGGATTGAAGGCACGGAGGGAACCAGGATTAGTCCTGGGAGTGGTCAATGGGAATGTTTTGTATGTTGTTTTAATTTTCTACAAGGAGAATGCATTCAGATACTACCTGTAAAAGATTAATTTTTTAAAATGTTACTCCTACCGTCAACATAGCAAAAGTCTGATTTCCTTATAGAATCCTGCTTTTACAGTTCAGACCGAGACTAATCCTGGTCTTAGAGCTGGATAACTAATTAAAAGGGCCACTGTAAGTGTGTGTGTGTATGTGTTGGTGTTTAACTACAAAAGTAATTCATGCTCCTTGTTATAAATTTTAACAATAAGGAAAATATAAAGTAAGTGAAGTTACCCATCCCCTGCACCCCCCGGCAGATAATCATCACGAACTGATTAATGAATCTCCTTCCTGAACTTGTCTCAAGAAGTACAAAACTCAGAGTTGAGTTTTGCTGATGTCTTCACAAGGGCGCTCTCGTGCTGCACAGAGCAATAGATGGCAGGCATCTTCCCCTTAAGTGACACCCACATTTGCCCCATTATTTGGCAGTTGAGTAATAATCCATTGCATGGATGCCCCATGATGGTTGAAGTAACCACCTGTTGCTGGGCATTTGCGTTATTGCCAGTGTTTTCACTCTAGAGCAGTTCTGCAGGAATTGCATGCACTCCTGTGCGTGTGGTTCGGTGGCCAGAGCGGGGCACTGCAGGCATGTGGTGCAGACATGCAGGGAAATCCAATATCCTGATTCCTGGTCTCTTTTTCAGAGTGCCAAACTTCCTCAGTGCAGTAACCTTCCTAGGGTGTGCCGAGCCCATGTCCCTCACCCCTGGGGTCCACTAGAACCATCTGGGACCCTTTATCAGACTGCCCCCCACCCCGAATTCTGCCACAGTGCTCTGGAGGGGCCTGGGAGTCTGGGTGGTGTCAGGCTGCCTCGGTGACTCTGGCCCAGAGGGCTGCTGCTTCCCATCTCTTGACCACTATCTTTTCTTCCCCCCAGAATAGGTTCTCAGACTATGAGAAGAGGAAGGTAAGAAAATGCTTTTTCTGCTATTTTTCTTCCCATTAAAGATCTCAACTATTATAAAAGATTTGAAGAAACAAATTCTTCCTGTCTCTAAATTAGAGGATAAAGTAATTCTCTTCTCTTACAATCATTTCCTCACCACGGCCTCAAACTGCTTGGCGGGTGGTGGAGTATCTCACCTGATAGATGAGGAGACAGGCTCAGAGGGAGCGCAACCCCATGCCTGAAACCACTAGCCTCTGCCAGTGAACAGCCCATCTTAGTACAGTTGGGCCCTGAGGGTTGCTCAGCCTGAAGACCTGCAGCCCGCACTGTTACCAGCTGGGGGTTGGTTCACTCTGCTCCCGTGTCCTAATGCCCACAGGATCTACCTTCTTGCAGGAACAGAAGATGCTGGAGAAACTCGAGTTTGAACGGCGCCTGGAACTCGGGCACCGAGAGCACGCCCAGCTCCTCCAGCAGAGCAGCTATCAGAAGGAGGAGATCCTTCAGACGGTCAAGGAGGTTTGTGAGCGGCCACGTGGGATCCCGCCTGTCTGCGCACTCCCTGCCTCCCACCTCGGGTCCCTGTGATGTGGAAGGCGGTGGGAGTGCATGCTCTCGCTTCCATCCCCCAGGACCTGGGACCCCTTACAGGTCACCTAGTCCAGTCCCCTTGGGTACAGTGGACACCCTGAGGCCTAGCAAGGGGAGGACCTGGCCCACGGTCACGCAGGAGGAGCCTGGAGGATGGGGACAGGAAAGCCAGTGTCCTGACCCCAGTCCAGGGCCCCTCACTGCCCCGTGGTGTCCGAGGGCATCACAGCTGGCTCAGGACCTCCCCCCATCCTGCTGCAGGAGCAGTCCCGGCTGGAGCAGGGCCTGAGCGAGCACCAGCGCTCCCTGGATGCCGAGCGCCAGCAGCTGCAGAAGCAGCTCAAGCAGACAGAGCAGAACATCTCCAACCGCATCCAGAAACTCCTGCAGGAGAATCAGAGGTTGGGCTCCTGGCCCCCA